GAACCTCCTCCACCCTCCGCCCGCCGCTAGGGGAGCCGGGCGGCTAGCAGGGCCGGCAGCGTAGGAGGGGGCGACTAAGTGAGGAGTAAGACGACCCAGGGCTGGGGCTTCAGTTTCTCTACCTTAGATGCGGGTGGTGTCTACCTCCCCACCCCCGCTCTGCCAGGGCTTTTGTGGGGGTTGGATTGATTTGGGTTAGCGAAGTCTGCTCACCTGTTAGAGCGTTCAGGAATCTTTTTAGTGCCTCTCCCCATCCTGTAGGTAGGGAAACTGAGGCCCAGAGAGGGCAGAGACTTGCAGATATCACACAGCATATCAGTGACGGAGCTGGGACTAGTGGGATGTCTGCTGTACAAGAGTGACAAGTTCACGGTGTTGCCGAGAGGGGTGGGGCTGGGGTCGGGGTCGGCTCCCATGAAGGTTCACGCCGCCATCCCAGCTGTGAGTATCCACTTCGCCTGATGCCTGCTGACCCCATCGTGTAGGTGCTCTGTGTAGGTGGGCACTGTGCCCCTCATCGTGTAGGACCCACATCGTGTAGGTGGGCACTGTGCCCCTCAGGTGGTCAAGACCCAGGAGAGGAAGCATCCCATCTCCAGCTCCCTACCCTGGCCTTTCTGCTGGTCTACGGTGTGGACACAGACACGTAGCTGTACCTCTGGGCCTCAGTTGGTCCATCTGTAAAGAAAGGAGTTCAAATCAGTGATCCAGGCTGTCTCTGTAGCTCCTCAGTCTAAGATAGGGGTACCTGGGAACAGACCAAGGGTGCCTACCCCCGGGCTCAGGTCCAGCCTGGAGGCCTAGCCTCCATCCCTTCCCTCCCCGCCAGCCAGCTCCCCCAGGAGGTCCTACAGCTGGAGCCTGAGCAGCAGGTCACAGGGACAGGTGCCCGCAGTCTGTGGGCTGACCAGCCTTGGGCCCTGCACTTATTCAATCAGGCTGTCCTCTGTGGTTTCCCACTGGGCTCTGCTTTCTGTCCGCAGCCAGGCCTGTGGCCATGGGCTTGTCCCAGGGCCCTACCTGAAAGGCTCTGGGAGGATCTACAGGGTTTCAGACCTGGGGGAAGGGGTTGGGCCACTGGGCTCCCCATCCCTTCAGCTGGCCCCTGTCCAGGCCTTGGCATTACTCATTCTTCTCACTGGATATGGACAGACCCATCCAAACATTCTGAGGACAAAACACAACATTGTTTCCCTCTGGGTCAATTAGGCTTCCCCAGGTAAAAGGTGGGACAGCTGACCTGGCTGTGAGACGACCTCTTACTCCGACCATGGCCACAGACAGGCTCAGATACCTACCTGTCTCAGAGCCTGGCCACAGACTGACTCCTGATCCTTAGGATGACTCAACCTTCCCAAACTCTGCATGGTCACAAGGGTACCCCTAAGAGTGGTACTACCTTCTTAGGGGTACCTTCCATCCATCATGCATCTGCTGTATGCTGGGCCCTGTGCTGATGCCCTCACTTGTGGACTTCAAAGTGAAGCCTTTGCTGTAGAACAGGGAGGTGCCTGGTGCTTTGGGAGCATACTCTGTGCAGAGGTTAGAGAAGGCTTCCCAGGGGAGGGGACGCTGGAGGTGGGTTTTGAAGGATGTGTAGGAGTTTGCTGATGAAGGAAGGAGAGATATTCCAGACAAGTCCACAAGCAACAGGAACCACTGGTCACTTTCTGTGGGCAGGGCTGATGAGGGCCTAGCCTGCAGCGTCAGACCAAAATACTCTTGTTTCTGTCCTGGAGTGAGCTACCAGTGAGCACAGCTGTGGGGCTGGGGTTCAGGAGCCCTGGTTTCTACTCAGCTCTGCTGCCCAGCTAAGGGGATGTAAGGTCATAATTCAGTCTTCTGCTCTCCAGCCCACCAGCTAGCATTAATCAGTTAGTATCTGTGGGGCCTGTCCTAGAAGCTCTAAGTGGCACGAGTGTCCTATCTGGATGGGGGAAGCCTGTACTGCCAGGAGACAGCAGCTTGCCAGGCCTGGCTGTGGGAGGTTGTAGGGCTGTGCTCCCCAGGTTGGGGGGTGGTTGGGGAGATCAAGGCATTTCCTGGAGTTGGTGGCAGCTGAACTTGCAGATGGGTGGGGGTTCTGGAGTCTGGGACAGGGGCATTTGGAATACAAACCCAGAGACTTAAAGCAGTAACAGACCCGTCTCGCTGCTGGGAGGCAGGACAAGAGAGGGTGGGATAGGAAAGGCTCCCTGGGGCCTGTGGTGGCTGGTCCCACCATGACCTGCCCCTTGGTGGGGCAGTGATGCCAAGGGAACAGGAGGCCCCACCCCACACACATACACACCTCATGGGAAGAGGGCACTGAGCCTGCTGGAAGGGGTGGGCGGGGCAGCTGGGGCATCTCCATGACTGTGGGCCATGCTCTGCGCTGCTGCTGCCCCTCAGTGAGTGTGTGCGTTACTGGGGCTGTGTGTGAGTGTGAGTGTGCACGTGTTACTGGGGCTGCATGTGAGTGTGTGCATTACCGAGGCTATGTGTGTGTGAGCGTGCAGGTTACTGGGGCTGTGTGTGAATGCGGGTCCCTGGGGCCATGTGTGAGTGTGTGCGTTACTGGGGCTGTGTGTGAGTGTGTGTCCCCAGGGCTGTGCTGTATGAGTGGGGAGGGATAGGGGGAGGTGTTGCTAGGCAGGGTCTGGCTGCCCTTGGGTCTATGTGGAAGTGCAGGATTCCTGGTATGCTGGGGGCGGGGTGGGCTTCTCCAGAAAACTCCTGAGGACCCTGACCCCACCCCTTCCCACACACCCGCTCCAGGGGACCCTGGGTCTGAAGTACAAAGGTGGGAGTGCTGTTGCAAAACTTCCCTGCCCTGCTGTGCCCCTTTCTCCTCCTTCCTCCTAGGAGGGGCCTGGCCAGGACGCTGGGAAGGAGAACGAGCTGAGTCTGGATCCCCCATCTCTGCCTTTAGCATGGGTGCCTGGAAGCCATTAGGGGCCTGGGTGGTGCCTGCCCTGGCCCTGCGCAACAGGCTTGGATTCCTGGAAGGAGCCAGTGGCCCTCTCCGGGCCAAGCCCTGTGCCAGGCCTGGCAGCTCCCAGAGGCAGGGAGGATGTGGCAATGACCCCCTCCCTGCCAGGCTCCTAGTTCAGGGGCTGCGGGAAGGGCCCAGCCGACAGGGCCCAGGCCCCCATACCCAGCACAGCTGCGGCTGGCACTCGGGTTTCCTGCCTCCCCCTCCCCTCCTC